GGGGGGGGGGGGGGGGGGGGGGGGGGGGGGTTCGTACTTCCGCAACTGTTACAGTAGTGTGGAAGTACGAACGCCCCCCCCCTTTCTATAGTGATGAAAAAATAGTGATAAAACTTTAGCATTTACCTATGAAACGCCAAAAAATACGAATAATAAGGAAGTAATTACACCTCGATGATGTTAAAAGTACCTTTGTGTCGAGTATTAATCAATTACCAGTGAAAAATCAATGATAATCGGTGGAAATTGAGATGAAATAGGCCTTTGAGGTTATAATGAAGTCCACAATATTTGTTTATTTAGTTGTTTTTCTGAGTAAGTTGATAGATATTTCTCCAACATTTTATCCCCATGAATTATATTAATTACTGTGCTTCAGTTTCAATTTCATCAGTCCCTGCTGATAATTCCGAGGCCCCAGAGTTGCAAATCGAAGTAAACGAAACAGAAAACGACACGAAAATTGATGCAGAGGTAGAAAATGAGACTGAAATAATGGAAATACCGAGCGAGGCGAATGAGGATTTTTCAAACGTTACGAAGGACGGAGAGGATGAGGACAAAGGAAATGCTACCATTACCTCAAAATTGAAGAATAACGGGGCTTACAAAATCTACAGCAATTGTTTGACTGATAAAATCTACGGGAATGTGGAAGTAAGTTTTAGGACTATCAACGTTTTCCGAAAACTATCTAGAACGTTATTTTTGAGAATAACAATTTTTTTTCAATAGGTTGTCAATGCTACCAGACTCATGGAGCTCCTGATAATGGAGCCAGGCCCCTCGAACAACACAGACGCTAAACAAGAAGGAAAAATTCCCGCGAGAACGTGTATTCTCGTTCTATTCTACACTAGATGGTGTGTCTTCAGCAGTCAGGCTGCTCCTCACTTCAACGCACTACCAAAATTCTTTCCACATATTAGAGCAGTCGCTATCGATGCTTCCAAATATCAAAAGTACGTGAACAGTCCAATTGGACCCCCCCCCCTCCTCCCATTAATGGAACAATTGAATATTTTTCCAGATTTCTGGAATATTTACTTATCTATGGAATCGATTTTTTTTAATCAAGTGGATTTCTCCATCCATGATATGAGAATATATTTGGTGGTCTATCTGCTGTTTCTCGCTCAATAATGGAAATAAACCCTGCCAGCTGCAATTTTTTCATATTTTCCATTCATTTCTAATCGACGGAACACTGATATATTTGTTTGGCACGTGCCAGAGTGGTTCAGTCGAAAGTATATAAATAATTGATAAGTTGAAAATATAATGACATTTATGTTTCCATTCCTTGTCAAATTGCTCTGACAAATTCATATACGAAGAAAGTCGAGTTAATGTGTTCATGTGATCGACATTACTCATTTTTAAGTGTGTTCACTAGTAAGAGTTTCTTTGCATGACAATTCCAATTTTCAATTATGATCTGAACTTGTTGACATTCTTTTACAAAAATGTCCTTATTACTTCGGGTTCCTAATGTTTCACCGTTTCACAAAGTTCTAATGTTCCGTAATTGGGCGTACGATGTTCTATATTTGGCAAAAGTATTCCGTAATAGGTCTTTTAGACTTAAACATGATTTTTTAGAGATTCTTTCAAACAATAGTTCATTTTTGAACCATTGTCTGGACCCTCGAAGAGCCTTGGGTGTTCCATAATTAGCCTGTTCACCCTATTGTCCAAATAAATGTTCCTCACCTGGCTTCATTGTTGAATAATGCAATTTCTTTTCTATTCATCTTCACAATTTTTCAGTTTTAATACACAATTTGGCATTGTCGGAGTTCCAACATTGATGTTCGTGTACAATGGGAAGCCCCTAGTGAGGTTCAACGACTCCTCCTACACCCTGGAGTCATTTGCAAAATTCGTTACTGATTACACAGCTCTGGAGCCGAACGGTTCCCTCTACGTCACCTCTGGGGACTTTGCCGGGCCAGTACCCAGCACACCATCCAACGAGTGCGACTACTGTCTCATCCTGTCCTGGCTCTTCATCGCAGCCTGTGCACTCTATTTTACTCTTCAGAGCCAGTGGTGGAAGCAGTTTGTCGAGCTGATACAGAATACGTGGAGGGAGAGCAACGCACAGCACGAGCATACCGATTAATCCTTCATTTTCTTATTTATTGTGATATGTCAAGTTGTTGATTAAAATGATTAAGATAAATGATGATGCAATTTTATTCCATCCATTGTGTTGGGCGTTAGAGTGGGGACGCACAACCGCACACTGAGAAAAAAATTACTTTTGCCAAAGAAATTTACTAACTACAAGAAAATCCACACATTTAAAATGCAAATATTTATATACCTTTACCTTTACCAGTCAGAGGTAAATTTAATTAATTCAGTCATTTTGTTTTTAAACAGTTTTTCATTATTTTTAATTGTCACATTCAAATTCAGGATGAGATAGACAATTCTCAACTTGATTCCACAGTTCCTCCAATTCTCTCTATACTCCGTCGACTCAAAATGGCGCCCATTAATACCCTAACTTCATGATTGTTGTCGTTTTTCCCATCGAAAAATTTGTTTGAACTGAAGTTCGTCCTTAGGCTCCAATCATACGATAATCTGTCAATTCAAAACCCCTCGAATCTCACCCCCAACAGAATCCCCTCTAAAATGATTAAAATACCGTTGAATTACCGATAAAATATGCCGTACTGTGCACTAGGTTAGGGAGGATTTATTTCGTTCCAAGTGTAAAATTGTTTTTAAAAAATAAATGAAGTGCTGAATTTTTGTTTCAATTTTGAAACAAAATAATTACGAAATATGGGATCGTCACTTTTAGTCTGTCCCATGTGCTGTGGAGAGACGTTCAATAGTTCACAGTCACTTAAATATCATTTATTAAGTATGACTGATAATTTGTACTGTCCTGGATGCTCGCAGAGATCAGAGTCTGTTGCTGCATTGATTCAGCATCTTGATGCATGTGGCACTGGGGATAATGTGACTTTTGAGGAGACTGTCAATGAAGGAAAAATTGGGGAGGGCGAGGTGTTGATGGTGAGCCAAATTTTCATGTATTTTCATTTGTTTGTAGATTTTTTTTCCATTTACTCATCTGAGTTCAGATCGTTAATGATCAGGAATGGAGGGAAAACGATTCAGAAAGTAGTTTTTTGTTGAAAATTTCAAGAGCTACAAAACATTTATTTCACGCACAATTTCTATTTTTTAATCATTTCAGGATACAAATGTCGAGCAAATCCACGAAAGTTTCTTGGCATCTGTCAACAACGAGGGTATCATGATTGTGGGAGGACCGAGATCCCTAGAAGTGGACGACGATGGTAATAATAGATTCGGAACAACCCTTTCAATAATTTGATTCAATTCCTGAGCAAAAAATGAGTCGAGAAATCAGTAGCGAAGCGGTAAACCGATCGATTTTGACTATTGGCCAGTTTTTGACGAATTTCTCGAAATCTAAAGGAGATAGAAAAATTTCTGTCATGACCTTTTTTGTAGAGCCAATTGAGCGTTATAAAAAAGGTCATAAGGAAAATTTTGCTGTCTTTCTTAGATTCCGTGATATTCATAAAAAACTGGGCAAAAGTCAAAATCGACTTGACCCGGTTTACCGCTGAGCTACGGAAATATGGCTGTGTTTTTGCTCATTAAAAAGAAATTGTTCTCAGGACAAATCAAGATGGTTCAAAAAATGGAGCCGGAGAACGACCCGGGGGAGTCCATTCTTCCTGACGACGAGTACGAGGATCTTGAGAACATCGACGAGGATGGCTCTGTGAAATCGTCAACCAGCAAGAAAGATGAAACCAGTGAAAACGCCCCTGTGATCAGCATCCCAGAGAAGACAGACGACACAAGCAACGAGAACAACGTCATTGGAATTTACTCTGACGAAACGGCTGAGTACTTCGAGGGCGACCAGAGCCTAATGGAAATCAATGAGGATGAGGATACTAAAGAGCTCGGAGAAGAATTCATGAGGGTAAGATAATGCTCCCTTATCAATAAAAAAAAACAAGTGGGAAAATGCTCTTGTATTGCATATCATAGTTATTTCTGCTGATAAATTAGCAATATGCTTCCGAACGGCTATTTTGCACAGTATTTCCTTCTATCACGTATAATTCATTGTTTATTTCGTTTTATGAGATTGAATAAGATCACTTTTCAACTAATTTTGTCGGATTTTCAAATTAGTTGAATGCTATGATCATCGTTATTCTTATTATCCCTTTCTTCTATACAACCGATTGTCTTTTTACGGTTCTACCTATCCCCTCAGCTCTTCTATAAAATGTTAATAGAAAAAAATTATTTGTGCATACTTTACTGAATTTGAAACATCACATTTAAAGAAACCATTAGAGAGCTCGCTGTCAGGGGAAATTCATGAAAAATTACAAACTTTTAACAATCAATTTAAAAATCAAATCAGCTATCGTAATCATCTTTCAACTTCGACTTAACGGCATTAAAATAAACGTTTTAAACTGTGATTGAATTCATTTGAAGCATGATATCCAACCATATCCCCGGAATTCTGATTTTCAAAAAATCCAGAATTTTTGGAAATTTTCAAATAATTCAAAATGACGATTATTGCTATCGCCTTCATCATCGAACTCGGTCTGAAGGACATCCAAACAAATTTTTCAAGCCATTCAATCAATTTTTTTAGTTATCGTGAAAAAAACAATTATTGAGCAATTGCACAAATTTAAAAAATTGATAAATGAATCAAGTTCCATCTACAAATAAATAAAAAATAAAACAAGTGAGAAATTGCTCTGGTATTGAATGTAGTAGTTATTTTTGCTAATAAATTAGCAATATGCTTCCGAACGGCTATTTTGCACAGTATTTCCTTCTATCATGTATAATTCATTGTTTATTTCGTTTTATTAGATCGAATAAGATCACTTTTCAACTAATTTTGTCGGATTTTCAAATTAGTTGAATGCTATGATCATCGTTATTCTTATTATCCCTTTCTTCTATACAACCGATTGTCTTTTTACGGTTCTACCTATCCCCTCAACTCTTCGATAAAATGTTAATAGAAAAAAATTATTTGTGCATACTTTACTGAATTTGAAACATCACATTTAAAGAAACCATTAGAGAGATCGCTTTCAGAGGAAATTCATGAAAAATTACAAACTTTTAACAATCAATTTAAAAATCAAATCAGCTATCGTAATCATCTTTCAACTTCGACTTAACGGCATTAAAATAAACATTTTAAACTGTGATTGAATTCATTTGAAGCATGATATCCAACCATATCCCCGGAATTCTGATTTTCAAAAAATCCAGAATTTTTGGAAATGTTCAAATAATTCAAAATGACGATTATTGCTATCGCCTTCATCATCGAACTCAGTCTGAAGGACATCCAAACAAATTTTTCAAGCCATTCAATCAATTTTTTTAGTTATCGTGAAAAAAACAATTATTGAGCAATTGCACAAATTTAAAAAATTGATAAATGAATCAAGTTCCATCTACAAATAAATTAAAAATAAAACAAGTGAGAAATTGCTCTGGTATTGAATGTAGTAGTTATTTTTGCTAATAAATTAGCAATATGCTTCCGAACGGCTATTTTGCACAGTATTTCCTTCTATCATGTATAATTCATTGTTTATTTCGTTTTATTAGATCGAATAAGATCACTTTTCAACTAATTTTGTCGGATTTTCAAATTAGTTGAATGCTATGATCATCGTTATTCTTATTATCCCTTTCTTCTATACAACCGATTGTCTTTTTACGGTTCTACCTATCCCCTCAGCTCTTCTATAAAATGTTAATAGAAAAAAATTATTTGTGCATACTTTACTGAATTTGAAACATCACATTTAAAGAAACCATTAGAGAGCTCGCTGTCAGGGGAAATTCATGAAAAATTACAAACTTTTAACAATCAATTTAAAAATCAAATCAGCTATCGTAATCATCTTTCAACTTCGATTTAACGGCATTAAAATAAACGTTTTAAACTGTGACTGAATTCATTTGAAGCATGATATCCAACTATATCCCCGGAATTCTGATTTTCAAAAAATCCAGAATTTTTGAAAATTTTCAAATAATTCAAAATAACGATTATTGCTATCGCCTTCATCATCGAACTCGGTCTGAAGGACATCCAAACAAATTTTTCAAGCCATTCAATCAATTTTTTTAGTTATCGTGAAAAAAACAATTATTCAGCAATTGCAAAAATTAAAAAAATTGATGAATGAATCAAGTTCCATCTACAAATAAATAAAAAATAAAACAAGTGAGAAATTGCTCTGGTATTGAATGTAGTAGTTATTTTTGCTAATAAATTAGCAATATGCTTCCGAACGGCTATTTTGCACAGTATTTCCTTCTATCATGTATAATTCATTGTTTATTTCGTTTTATTAGATCGAATAAGATCACTTTTCAACTAATTTTGTCGGATTTTCAAATTAGTTGAATGCTATGATCATCGTTATTCTTATTATCCCTTTCTTCTATACAACCGATTGTCTTTTTACGGTTCTACCTCTTCCCTCAGCTCTTCGATAAAATGTTAATCGACAAATTTTGTCTATGCATACTTGAATGAATTTGAAACATTACATTTGAAGAAACCATCAGAAAGTTCACTTCCAGGGAAATTCATGAAAAATTACAAATTTTTAACAATCTTCATAAAAATCAAATAATCAGTATAGCTATCGTAACCATCTTTTAACTTCGACTTAATGGCATTAAAACAGACATTTCAAGCTATGACTGAATTCATATGAAGCATGATATTCAAAGATATTCCGGGAATTCTGATATTCAAAAAATCCAAAATTTTTGCAAATTTTCAAATAAATGAAAATAACGATTATTGCTATCCGCTTCATCTTCGAACTCGGTCAGAGGGACATCCAAACAATTTTTTAATCCATCATTCAATCAATTCGTTACATTTTTTTCAGTTATCATGGGACAACCGATTATCGAAAAAAATTCTAAAATTAAAAAAACTCATCGATAAATTCAATTTTAATTAATGGCGATTGATAGGGCTCAACAATACCCACATTCGAAAAAAAAGGATTCAATTACATCCAGATATAACCCAAAAAATCAAAAACTTAAATTTGAACGATTACAAAGCTTCCATTCGGAAGCAAAAAGTAAAAGATTAAAATGTCTTTCGATTTTAGATCGACGCAACAGCCCTGTACAGCTGCAGCAGTTGTGGGATGGGTTTCAATTCGGTGTTGGATCACATAAAACAGTACCACGACGGTCAAGAAGTCGTACTAGAGATGGCGGACGAGGCGCCAGTCCTCCAGGAGGAGCCTGCAGAGCCCGAGGGGCCAGTGACGAAGACCAAGCAGAGGCAGAAGATGAATACAATCAAGACTGAGGAGTGCATAGACTCGGAGGGGAGACTCTACACCAGAAAAGTCGTGCAGATCGAGCCTTTTTGGGATAAATCCAACAATCAGAGTGACAATTCGAAGACGACTTCAATGATTGAAAAGTTCTTCTCCAATGCTGAAGGTGTCAAGGTAAAAAAATTGGAGGCGGCTGTATCTTCGATACAGCTGTAATTGTACGTGGATATGTCGATGGTCTTTCCTTTTTTCTTGAATTTCTTAGAAACTCCTTGAATTCCCTCGAATTTTCTAGGAAATCCCTGAATTTCCTCGAAATTTTTAGAAACTTCTTCAATTTTTTCGAAATTTCAAGAAAACTGTTGGAATTACCTCGAAATGCCTAGAATTTTCTAGAATTCCGATAGATTACGCTGCACATAAGGATCTGCATAGAAATTTAATATTGATGGGGATCCCTGCTTTCAGCCCCGTCAAAAGCCGGAGCCCCCAGTCCCCAAGGTCCACCGCTGCAACCAGTGCCTCGAGCAATTCCCCAGACTGACGGACTTCCGAACGCACGTGTGCCTCAACGGCTCCAACCACTGCGACCACTGCGACCAGTCGTTTGCAACAGTGAAGGCCCTCCAGGTCCACTCGAAAGTCCACGAAGTGGAGTCGAACGACCCTGACCGCCAGTTCATCTGCACCACCTGCGGCACCAAGTTCGCCTCCCACAAGAGCCTGCGCCTCCACTCGCGCATGCACGCCCCAGTGCGAGAGAGACACGTGGACGCACCCGAGGGCGATCCCGATGCTACCTTCACGTGCTTCGAGTGCGGAAAGTCATTCTCAGAGTCATACAGGAGTGCCCACATGGCTCTGCACACTGGGGACTCTGTCACCTGCACAATCTGCAATAGAAAGTTTGACTCTGCGGACTCGCTAGCCATGCATGCAGCTGTCCACCCGGAGTTGGGGATGTCCGAGCCCCCGAGGAATCAGGGGAGAAAGCCCTGGAAGAAGGTGAAACCGCCCAGTCCCAGCGAGGGCCCCGCCGAAGGGGAGAAGGAGGGGGCCGAGGGTGCTAAGGGGAATGACAAGGACAATGGGGACCTGTCGAAGCCTTACCAGTGTCAGCACTGTGGGAGAAGGTTCACCAGGCCTCATGAGAAGGTCAAACACGAGAGGATTCACACTGGGGAGAAACCACATGCTTGCGAGGTGGGCGCAATTTTTTTTTTGCTTCCCATTGTCATGAAACGTGAAGATATGATATGAAAACCAAGTTCTCGACCGCTCTGATATAGATGTTTGGTGAAGATATGATATTTTTAGAAAATGTGCATATGTGGTCAGATGAGTGTGATCATTTTTCGGAAAATTTCTATAATCTTCACAGAAAAAGGACTAATGTTGAAGCTAAAAATCTGAAGTTTCGTCGAATAATTGGTGTTACTTTGGAGCACTTCCGGGCGCAATTTCAGCTCAATCGGTCCAGTAGTTTCCGAGATACAGCAATTCCTCAAACATCTTTTTTCCTTAATATCTCGAAAACTACGTGACTGAATTGAATTTTTTTTACGTCAAAATATTTCCTGTAATCATATCTATCAAATCAAATCACAATATTGCTATGTAGCTAGGGACTGTTTGGTAATAATCGGCATTTTTCGTTTTCATGAGAAAATCGTTCTGTGCACGATAACTCCCAGAAAAATTTACATAGGATGTCGAAATTCGGTGAGATTGTAGCTCTTATGATATTACCGGATGGGATTGTGGGTAGGCGATATCGGACAAGTGGTTTCGAAGATATTCAACTTTTTCTGAAAAACTGTTTTGTTCAATATCTCCCAAACTGCTGATCCGATTAATTTTATTTTCCTTTCAAAATACTCGTCTTGCTGCTCCCTATCAAAACCAATCAAAATATGAATACCTGTTCATAGAAAGTTTTCGAGATATTCGGGTTTTTCTAATTTTTCTATTGAGAGTTAATGTGGCGTTCCATAATACGCGTAAAACTTGGCATAAACAACTGAGGTTCTGGCTACTAATTAGTGTTATTAAGTCACACTTGTGTATAAAATTTTGTGTCGATCGATTCAATACACCCTGGCATAGAGCAATTCGTCCAAAAATCTTTTTTTTCTAAAACATCACACATCGTCATTTTATCCATTATTTTTGCCTCTGGGGGCTTATTCTCGATTTGTTTGAAGACGAATTTGGGTGTGCTACACGACAGTCAGCTCCCAGAATGACTTGAAAAGTCGTACAAAAAATAAATAAAAAAATAAATTACAAAAAACTGAAATGAAAAAATTTATGCTTTCCATTTTATATTATGTAATATTTGATGAAATAACGATGAAAATGGGGATCGGCGTGGAAAAAGAAAATATGTGAAACTTTTTTCCGAGGAACAATTTTTCAAGAACGATTGTCAGGGGAATATTATCCTAGAACCATTGCTACAGATCCATTCGGAAGCTTGTTACCAATGGAATTGGTAGAGAGAAAGAAAAAGAGACTAGTGACGCATAAAGTAATCCTGTTTGTTTCACATACATTATTTGTCATGAACTGTATAATGTTTTTATCTCCCTCCAGGTGTGTGGAAAAACATTCAGAGTCTCTTACTGCCTGACCCTCCACATGAGAACCCACACAGGGGTTCGTCCCTACGAGTGCAAGCACTGTGGCAAGCGTTTCAAAGCTTCGTCAGTCTACAATCATCACTTGCTGACTCACGGCGAGGAGAGGGCGTACAAATGTCCATTCTGCGTCAAGACATTCAAAACACGTGTGCAATTGGCAGGTCACAAAAACAGTCACACCAAACCCTTCAGGTGCACCGAGTGCTCGAGGCCATTTGCCTCGTTGTACGCTGCCAGGGCGCACATCGCCACCCACAAGAAGGACAACAACTTAAAATTCAGTTGCTACATCTGCGGTGCGTCCTACGGGCGTGCATTCGCACTCAATGATCACATGAAGGTGCATGGCAGTGAGGCTGTTGCCACACCTGAACCTGCACGCGAGGAAATTATTCACGAGGATTTTCTCCTGGAGGAGGACATCACCGAGCAGGAGCTCGCCGAGGGAATCAGTCCCGATTTACAATTGAGTGAAAACGGCATGATCAAGAAATTCGTGGACTCTGATTGAGGCTACTTTCATTAATGTGGGGAGGGGATGCGTGGGTCTTTCAACAATCTTAGGAAAAAATGACTTTTTTCTCGATGAATTGAGAAAGTGTGGACTTTCGATAACACGGTTCGACCTTGAAAACGAAACCGAGCCCATCTTATGGGTATTTTAATACTGATGTTAAATTTCGTTTCAGGAATCTCTCTAGCACGTCGAGTTTTCGAGAAAAAAAATGTTGAAATTTTGAAAATTGTTCAAATAAACAAGTTGAAAAATTTGTAGAAAAATTGATGTGGACGTAGTTTTTCGCAGAAAACAACAATGAATTTATGAAAATGTGATTTTTTTAGTGGACCAAATTCATTTTTTAATAAATTTTTTAAATTGTCCTTTTTAACACTACCACATATTTTTTCAACTAGACGCGCTAGAAATATTTTCAAAAAGAAATGTAAAATCGGGTAGACGGAAAAAATAGCCCATACACCCAAAACGTGCTAAAACCCACTCAACTTGAAAATTTCCCTTCGTCTATTTTTTCCTGGATTCGTAAAATGGGCATCAAAATATCTATAAAATGCGGTCAGTCTCATTTCTGAGGCCGACGACATTCGAATTTTGTCGAACCGTGTAATGATTGCTTGTTTAGGAAAATTATTCAATTTTTAGTTGTGTATTCAATTATCTTGGATTGAAATTTTAACGATTCTTTTCATCCAAGTGCCCTTAATAAATTTATATAGGATCGAATATCTTGTGTGATGGATGCTTTTCTTCGGAGGTGGATTATTGTTGAGCAAATGTGAGAACATGTGATGTAAGAAAGTAAGTTTATATCAATTAAAAATATTAACCTTAAATTAAATTCGCCGAGTGGTTAAATTCTCTTGTCAAATGCGTGGAATAGGCCCAGATCTCACAAACATCTCTGTAATAAAAACAAAACCTTCACAGCTGTTTTTGAGGGAGTCACGTGGTCCGCCATATTGTGATTTCCCCCGGAGTTTCAATCAGTTTCAATGTGTTGGGCATGCCATGTGCTCAGACATTATTGTTGGTTTACAACTTCAAAAGTATCTGAATCTCCAATAAAGACCGAGTGAGAGATATTTAAATGGACTAAAGTTTCAATCTAGAAAATTTTTTAAAAAAAAAAAAAAACAAGTGGCATTTCGTGGTGAAAGTTTTAACCTCAATCTGCTATTTACTTGGGCAATTGAATAGCTGCTAAAATGGGGAAAAATCACCGACATCAGAAGAACTTGAAGTCCGAGAGGTCAAAAGTGAAGTTAAAAGCAAAAAAGCCAAAAATCCTCCCCAAAGGGCAGAACCTCACCGACACGAGTTTCAAAGTGAAGAAGATTATCATAAGGGAGCAGCTGAAGTCTCACGAGTTGGATGAGATTGTCAGTCGTCGTAAACTCAACGTCAAGGAGTTATTGACCCGCCTCCAGCACCACAATTCGGCAGTTCGCCAGGAGGCCATCAAGGAATTAAAAGAGATCCTGCAAAATTACCCACCCGAGCTTCTCAGCTCGCACCTCAACGCCCTCCTCCAGGGCATCTCCTCGCTGGCCCTCGACAAGGAGAGAGACATTCGAAGGGACACCCTCAGGGTCCTCTCCCTCGTCCTGTCTCCCCTCTCCAGCGATCAGCTCTCACCTTTCTCTGAGATCCTCGTCTCCTACCTGAGGTGTGCAATGACCCACATTAACCCCTCGATAAAAGAGGACTCCCTCGCCTTCCTCGACGTTCTCGTCCACTCCTGTCCCTTCCTCGTCTCCAGGAACGCTCGCAAGATACTCCCGAACTTCCTCGACATGATTTCCAGCCACAATCACACCTCCACGTCTCGACAGCTCACGACAACCCTCAGCTCCAGAAATACCGCCATCAAGTGGCGAGTCAAAGTCCTCCAGCGTCTCTCCAGCATCTTCAACTCGATCATCAATGACCTGAGGTCGCAAAAAAATTTGAAGAGACATTCGGAAGTCAGAAAAATCCTCGTCGACGACGACACGAATTGCCTCAGCTTCTTCTGGGGAAATAATCTTGATATTTGCAATATTGGGGCTGACGAGGACGAGGGCGTGCTGGGGGGTGCGGGATTCAGTGAAGATGACTTTAAACGTTACGTCAAGGTCCTCGTACCTCTGATGATGGACAGCTGGGTCGAGGTCAGGCCCAAAGAGGTCGAGGCAGAGGGGGGAAGTCTGTTGTCGCAAGAGGCAGTCGAAATGCTGAGGGTTATCGTGAAGATTTTCATGAATTTTTTGGATATTCTGGAGGTTTTCGATGGGGAGGAAGTGAGCGAGTGGTTCGGCGGGGAGGTTTCGGAGGGATTTGCCAAGTTTTTCGGGGAGGGATTCCCGTATGGAGCGGTTAAGAGGGTGGAGAGGGGTCGGAAGAGACAGGGGGACTTTGGAGAGGGCGACGAGGTGGGGGTGCTCCAGGAGAATTTAGGGGTCGGGGTGGTTCTTGCGGGAATCGTCGGGAGGCGACCGCTTGGCGAGCTGGAGAGAGAGGGGCTGGAGGGAGTTGTTCAGTATGTCTGTGGTGAGTTGTTTAGTATTAGAGCTGCAAGGAGTTCGCTGTATGGGATTCGCCGCGTATGAAAAAATCGTATAGAAATTACATAGGATTTTTGTATTTGATATTCGGAGATTTCTATAGAGATATTTTTTATGCGGGAGGTTGGGGTAAAACGGACACTTGACTTTTTTAATGTTAATGAGGGGTTGAAATGTAGATGACATTTAATAATTTTTTTTTTCAATACAAAGAACAATTCTTTGCGCGATTTTAACCTCGCTTCGCTCGGTTAGATCGCAGTTTTCGGGCCCAACGACATAAAATATCGTATGTCACACGGCGATAAAAGCATTAATAGTTTTATTAAAAAGTATAATGCGTTTTATTTATACTTTTATTTAAAAGTATTAATGCTTTTATCGTCTGATGACAATATACTATTAATACTGTGGATAATTGTTATATTTGGACGGTGGATAATTAATTATTGGAACTGGAACTTTGATTATTTTCATTCATCGATCTTCACTTTGGGATTGGAAGATAGCGACGTACTTCAAGTTATTCGCGATGAGGAATATAATGGAATTCCTTAGGTGAAGAGATTAAGGGTGCCAAGTGAATTTGAAAGAAGATTCAAAAAAAATTTTTTCTTTCTCTCCATCATTGGAGAAATATGTATTCATCCATCCGACGAAATTTCAAACCCGCAACCGGAACTAGACATCGAGAAAATAAATGCGGAAAATCCTCTATTTCGCGTGACGAACCTCGAGAAAGCATGGGATCAAATGGGCAGGGCGGGTTGAAATATCTCTCTTATTCACCCCGGTACCCCATTGTTTTTTGTCGCCATCACATTGAACACATCATTCCCCATATCTTCAAATTTTTTCAAATTTTTCTTGAGTTCCTAGGGGGTTGAAACGTTCAATTTAATCAAAACTCCATAAGAGGCCGTGTATAAGACTGATTTTGTTTATTTAATTTCTCGATATCCATAAGTTCTAAAATTTTAAACTTGTCACCGATGTTCACCATCTGTCTAATACTATTAATTTAAAAAATTATAACTTTGTTGGTGAATGTCAATTTTCAAGGTCATCACCAAATTCACTTGGCACCCTTAAGTACAGTAGAGGCTTCGTATAAGATCACTAGGATGTCACACTGGATGATTGATAATGCTTGAACTGCACCAAACTGTAGGGGAGGGTAGGGTAAAATGGACACTTTTGACTTTTTTAAAAATATTCATAACTCATAAACAGATTTATCAGTTGAGCTCAGTCTAAGCTCATCACAAAGAGGAATCATTGTTTTTCAATTGAAAAATAAAATTATTCCATTTCATGAACAATTCAACACGTCATGAATATTTCAAAAAAAGTCACAAGTGTCCGTTTTACCCTACCCTCCTCTGAAAGATACTTGGGTGTCCTTGAAGTTAAGGATGCTGATGGATTAATCTTGGTTTAGAGCGATTGAGGAATTGGAGCAGCAATGATGCACCTGCTTTACCCATTTTGTCCAACTTCTTGAGGATTTTGTTTCTGAAGGCGAGTAAAAATTTGTACGGTAATGGGGTCAACCTTGGAAATATTCTCCGGGGAACTATTTCCGCAGCTTGCAGACAACCAAAACGAGAATTGCAGAACCACTTGTTTGGCATTCTTGGAGATATTGTTTTGGATCATCGCTTGAACGAACTCCAAAGGTAAATCAAGAATCTTTTAGACACTTCTGTTCATAACTTGATGGATAAACCTTAATTGCAGGGAGTCCTCATTCAAAAATTTCGTCAAAACTCTGCCAGATTTACTATTGAATGAAAACATTCATGACAATACGATACAGATGTTGAATCGCGCTGTTCTACAACATGGAACTTGGATTCGTGGAGAACTGGCCAAAAAGCAGGACCAAATCATTGGTAATTTTCCGTAGAATAGGGTGAACAGTCTAATTATGGAACTCTCGAGACTCTACGGAGGTTCAGACAATGGTTTGAAAATGGGCTATTGTTTGAAAAAATATTTAAAAAATACCGGTCGATTCCAAATTCAATAGGTTTCAGAAAAAAAAGAACAACCACATTATAGAATGAGAAATAATCGGGAGAAATGAAAAATTATGTTCAAGTCCAAAAGACCTATTACGGAACACTTCTGCCAAATATGGAACATCGTGCGCCCAATTACGGAACATTAGAACTTTGTGAGACGGTGGAAGGTTAGGAACGACAGTCATTTTTCATCTATATAGGTGAAACTTTATTTGTTTCTCGGTCAATTTTCAGTTGAATTCCTTTTGTATTGGTCTAATCCGCATTTTGAAATGGAAATCACGTTTTTTTTTCCACCCATATAGATGAAACTATTTTGTTTTATTCGTGAGCGTCACAAATTGGTAATTAGTCATGACCGTCATTGTGCAACTATATAGATGGTTTGACAACAATTTGGTTACAAATGATTTGTGACAATCATTTGTAGTTGGAAAATTTGTACGTCACATGACCGTCATTTTTTAGATCGCGTCATGTGACCAAAAATGACGGTCATTTTGCATCTCTAATCGCACCCGCCGAGACGTCTTAAAGATAGCAAGCAGATAACTTTTCAAATAGGATATCTCTTGGACAGACATTAGTATAGGAAGGTTTCATCTTAGAGATAACTTTCTGCAGATTTCTACTTGGGTATTCTCATATCATGGATGAAAATGAAAATAATCAATTCGGTAGACAGGTAAATTTCCAGAATTCTGGAGAAATATTCAAGTGTCCCGTTAATTGGGGGAGGTTCCGCAATTAGGTGGTTCACCCTACGTGTTCTAGTTCCGCGATTAATTTTTACTTTTTTTCCCCTCAGAAAATGCGAAGAGAATTGAGATTATTGGATCTCCCGACGACAAAGAATCCAGGCTGATGATTTGCAATTTATTACATTTCTTGGATGGTCAAATATATTTCTAACAAATTTCGGATGTTATCGACAACTTCCTGGGACGTGTAAATAATTCTTGCTGAATAAATTCTAATAGCACAATTTTCTTTCAACATTCAGTGCTTTTATTTCATATATTTCAATTCATGTTAATCTATATCACATCATGGTCCTAGTACGTTATTTCCTCCTAAAATTCTGCTTTGCGTATCAATTGATCAATTAATCATGATCATTCATCAACGAAACTCTCACTCTTGAATACTAGTCTGACATTTTAAAAACCGAGTGGAGTAATGCAATGTAACAGAACACAATGTTATTCTGATCATGATCAATGCACGGGGAAAATCAATTTTTTATCATTGATAATTATACACATTAGTTGCATTATGGAATACTGTAGTGCTTATTTTACAAATTACGATTGTCGATAAGAGTGGAACGACACTCATTCTCTCATTATTGAAAAAATTCAATTTCTTCGAAAGGACATTTCTCTCGTTTGTGCTAATGGAGGGAATGTCACACCCAAGAAATCCTAAAACTTGGTAACAGTGCTCTCGTCATCCACAAATGCTAGATTATCTACTCCCATCTTTTCCTCCTCCTCTTCCTCCTCCTCTTCCAACTTCCTGTCCAAAACATTCTCGACACTAGGGGTGAGTGGCAACACCGGTGTATCCTTGCTCAACTTGGGCCAGTCCGCGCCCCTCAGCTCCTCCTGAACCCTCAAGTACTCCTTCCTGCTCTTCTCCGGTTTGTAAAACTTCACCTTGGCCTTCCTCTCGATGACAAAATCAATGATAAACATCTCCACAAACAAGCATATGAGAAAATTAGCAAAGGCCATGCTATGTTATCGACAACTTCCTGGGACCTGTAAATAATTCTTGCTGAATAAATTCTAATAGCACAATTTTCTTTCAACATTCAGTGCTTTTATTTCATATATTTCAATTCATGTTAATCTATATCACATCATGGTCCTAGTACGTTATTTCCTCCTAAAATTCTGCTTCGCGTATCAATTGATCAATTAATCATGATCATTCATCAACGAAACTCTCACTCTTGAATACTAGTCTGACATTTTAAAAACCGAGTGGAGTAATGCAATGTAACAGAACACAATGTTATTCTGATCATGATCAATGCACGGGGAAAATCAATTTTTTATCATTGATAATTATACACATTAGTTGCATTATGGAATACTGTAGTGCTTATTTTACAAATTACGATTGTCGATAAGAGTGGAACGACACTCATTCTCTCATTATTGAAAAAATTCAATTTCTTCGAAAGGACATTTCTCTCGTTTGTGCTAATGGAGGGAATGTCACACCCAAGAAATCCTAAAACTTGGTAACAGTGCTCTCGTCATCCACAAATGCTAGATTATCTACTCCCATCTTTTCCTCCTCCTCTTCCTCCTCCTCTTCCAACTTCCTGTCCAAAACATTCTCGACACTAGGGGTGAGTGGCAACACCGGTGTATCCTTGCTCAACTTGGGCCAGTCCGCGCCCCTCAGCTCCTCCTGAACCCTCAAGTACTCCTTCCTGCTCTTCTCCGGTTTGTAAAACTTCACCTTGGCCTTCCTCTCGATGACAAAATCAATGATAAACATCTCCACAAACAAGCATATGAGAAAATTAGCAAAGGCCATGCTATGTTATCGACAACTTCCTGGGACCTGTAAATAATTCTTGCTGAATAAATTCTAATAGCACAATTTTCTTTCAACATTCAGTGCTTTTATTTCATATATTTCAATTCATGTTAATCTATATCACATCATGGTCCTAGTACGTTATTTCCTCCTAAAATTCTGCTTCGCGTATCAATTGATCAATTAATCATGATCATTCATCAACGAAACTCTCACTCTTGAATACTAGTCTGACATTTTAAAAACCGAGTGGAGTAATGCAATGTAACAGAACACAATGTTATTCTGATCATGATCAATGCACGGGGAAAATCAATTTTTTATCATTGATAATTATACACATTAGTTGCATTATGGAATACTGTAGTGCTTATTTTACAAATTACGATTGTCGATAAGAGTGGAACGACACTCATTCTCTCATTATTGAAAAAATTCAATTTCTTCGAAAGGACATTTCTCTCGTTTGTGCTAATGGAGGGAATGTCACACCCAAGAAATCCTAAAACTTGGTAACAGTGCTCTCGTCATCCACAAATGCTAGATTATCTACTCCCATCTTTTCCTCCTCCTCTTCCTCCTCCTCTTCCAACTTCCTGTCCAAAACATTCTCGACACTAGGGGTGAGTGGCAACACCGGTGTATCCTTGCTCAACTTGGGCCAGTCCGCGCCCCTCAGCTCCTCCTGAACCCTCAAGTACTCCTTCCTGCTCTTCTCCGGTTTGTAAAACTTCACCTTGGCTTTCCTCTCGATGACAAAATCAATGATAAACATCTCCACAAACAAGCATAAGAGAAAATTAGCAAAGCCCATGGCTAGAATGATGAGAGGCCATTCGAAATTTGGGGGGAGTTGCAGCTGCAGAATCCGAACGATCCATTGCGCCGGCCGAAGAGTTATGTAGGCGCAAACCGCGGTTAAGGCAACAATTGAGAATATGAACGAATTATTCGTGTAAATTGCTTTCCTGTAGGGCTTTCCCCGCGAAAAAATCACGGCTGTTGTGATGTATTGAAACATCGATATGGAGAATACTGAGTAATTCTCGTAGCTCGTGTAGTGGAGAAGTTCGTGGCTGACAAATGGCTTGAACCAGGAAAATTGCTGAACTCCGAAGAAGGATGCTGCTTGGAATGCCGACATTATCGACATTTGGAGGATTAGAGAGGTGAGAGGAGTGAAGGAGAGGATGGAGGTCATGGGGGGATGGGAGGCCAATTTGCCGGCGTATGCTTGAGTTTTACCGAAGAAGAAGGCAAAGTTTACGATCAAGCATATGTCAATGAAGAGGAACTCGATGTCGGTGAGATTGGAGTCTATCGAGTAGAGGATTATGGTGGAGAGGAACTCGGTTAAGGCACATGTTACCATGAATTTGAAGATGCCGAAGGAGGTGACGAGAGCCGCTCGCCCCTGGCGAATCACTTTGGGTACGCAAGTGATGTCGGGAATGCGGGAGGTGAAGGGTGACGCCACGCTGAAACGTAAGTATGTTTGACATAAGTTGATCTATTGAAAAGTTTGAAAAGGGAAAATTACAAGGCTCGACTAAATTCAAACGCAGTCGACCTTGAATACGAAACCGACCTTATATCATAGATATTTTAATGCTGATTTTAAATTTCGTTTGAGAAGTCTTTCTAACTCGTCGAGAGAAGAAAAACTTCTCTTATGAGAAGTCGCCCTCAATTGTGGAGAGGTTTAGTTGTTGAAATAAAGTCGGAAAATAAAGAGATTAACGCACAAGTATACGTATGCATCAAAGTGTACGCAACCAACTTCCGGTCACTTAATTTTACAAGAAAAATAATGAAATTTGGACATTTTCGAGATTTTTTTCACTCACTTCGACTCAACCAATTAGAATGAACCCAAATGCCCTGAACAAATTACATGTTCGTTAATTCATTGTATTTTTTCTGGAAAAAACTACGACCTAATTCATTTTTTTATAAATTTTTTAAACTGCACTTTTTAACACTGCAACATATTTTTCACGAAAACTAGACGTGCTAGAAAGATTTTTCAAAAGAAATTTAAAGTCAGCATCAAAATATCTGTAAAAGGGGACCAGTCTCTTAGAGCCGACGTCGTCCGAATTGTGTCGAACCGTGTACCAGAGTGTAGATTTCTTTATCACCTTGATTCAGCTTCAGACAGTGATATTCCTGCATGAGCTGCCCGAAGAGCTCCACAATCATTCGCCCCATCTCCACACATTGCTGAAATCGAATGGATGAGCTAGTAGGATTAAATCTTTATCCAATTGTCACGTATAGACCATTTCATTCTGAAAATCTGTGGGACATATTGATTCCGTTCACCGAACTGAAAAATCTTCGGAAAAATGATTAAAAATTCTAACAAAAATTGTCATTTAAGATAATATCGATTTGAGACCTCAAAAATTATGATGGATAGGGGAGAGTGGGGCAAAATGAAACAGCGGGGCAAAATGAAATAGTCGATAATACGACTGTTTGACGCAATTCAAGCAAAAAAAATTTTTTTCATCAATTTTTGTTCATCAACTTTTTTTTATTATTGGGAGTACTGCTTAGAATAATCAGTACCCCCAGACTTTCCACTCAGATTTTCAGATTTTCCATTCAGTACAATGGAAAATTATTGCGATGTTTTACGGGAGAAGATCTTGTCAATGGATTAATTGAAAAGAAAATTAAACATTAAAATCCAATGTCTAGAGGAAGGCCCAGGGAGAGACCCAGATTGGGAAAAAGGAAAATGTGATACTGAATTCAACCGAATGAATAAAAAGCGTAATCTGCCTATTCTAAACAATTGAATTATAAGACGAATAAAAGATCATTATTCTCATCAGTACTCCCAATAATAAAAAAAAGTTGAAAAAAAATTTTTTTTTGTTTGAATTGCGTCAAATAGTCGTTTTAAGGCTGTTTGATTTTGTGACATAATTTCAAATTCTTCAGAGGTAAATTTTTCTTTCACGTCATATTTCTATATATATATATATATATATATTTCACATGTATATATATATTATCGGTGAAATTAATAAATTCTGTCCTTTTATGGAGACCGATTATTTAAAAAAATTGAAGATAATCAATTGAAAATGAAAAATTCTTTATAGATTCTTTTCCTCTACTTCGCTATTCACTTCAATCATTAGTCGAATTCTCTTTGATTCATTATCAATATTTATAAGGTATTCATGAGAAAATGAAATTCAATGAATTCCACTTCTTCATTTCAACAAATGAAAAGATCAGCGCGCGCGAGAGCGCGCGCATAGATCTTGTTCCGTAAGAGTTCAAACTCCGTAAAACCCCAAGGGGGATTAAGGATGTTCTACACCCTTTCTGCCAAAATTCACGTTTTTTTAATTTTTCTGGCAAACTTATGATGGAATTGACGTGAAAAAATATAACGTTTTTGCGTTTTGTCATTATTTAATGACTGACGAAATTTTAAGGTGGTGCGAACATTTTCCTGCGTTTTCTCTAAACTTTTAAAAAGAATCACAAAACTGTAGAAAAAACGCATGAAAATTATCGCACCACTACGCAACTTCGTGAGCCATTAAAGAATGACAAACCACAAAATCGTTATATTTTTTCACGTCACTCCCATCGATAATTTGCCAGAAGAATGAAAACAACGTCAATTTTGGCTAAAAGGGTGTCGAACATCCTTAACACGAGAAAAGTGTCGGAAAATCTAGTGACTCTCAGGATGAAAAGGTAGATAGGTCTATCGGAAATGAAGGTGCACCTTACCAACATAATAACCAAGCTGCATTAGCTCTGAAACAAGCTGTTGCTTCTGGTCACTCGTCATCCTCGCAAATACTGCCCCTTTCACACAAATCTTTGGCACCAACTCCGGATAATGCTCTCTCAACAGCTGCCACGTCTGTCCAGTCAGGGCGAAACGATAGTTTGGGGCGGCAAATCCCCTCTCGATTGATTCGTAATTCACCACCAACAGGTTCCCCCTCTGCGGAGAAGCCCTGGCCGGCACCCCTTGCACATTGAAATAAATCTTGGCATCGGCTTTTTGTTCTGAAGGTATGACAGTGACATTGATAACTGTCTCGTCTCTCTCCAGAATTTTACACTCTTTGGCGACACTCACAGCCGTCTGTATGTTGTCACCTGTGATCATCAGGATCTGGATATTTGCTTCCCTCAACTCCTCAATCACTCGAATTGTCGGCTCCTTCAGTCTGTTCTCCAGGATGACGAGACCCAAGAACTCCAGGTCCTTCTCAATTTGATCGCGGTGCATCTTTTGAATCTTGGCGAAATTGGAGGTGATGAAGCTCCTTCCAATAGCGATTACCCTGTACCCTTGCTCTGTATATTTTTGCAACTCCGACACAATATTCACGGGAATAGTCTCGGGTTTACTCAGACTGAGGATCATCTCGGGTGATCCTTTAGTGTAAACTCTGAAGTGATCAGTTCCCAGGACCCTGACAACCGTGGACATCCGTTGAAGCGAACTTGAGAATTGGTATTGCTGGATAATTCCGATTTCAGATACTTGGTTCATGTTCTCTGTGAACATCTGGGAAGAGTCCTGTGGGGGTTTGACAACTGTTGGGGCCAGGAGGTCGTATTTACTTGTGTCCTCGACATCCGGCTCTTCGAGGGTCCACCCAGTGCTCTCAAACATCTTCACGTCGAGGGGATCCCCACAAAGTTGATTGTTTATCAGAGTTAAACTGTGGCAAACGAGCATTCCCTCGAATATCGAGTGATTTCTTAGCTTCGGGACGTCCTTCTCAGCTTCCTGAAAGCTCGCATTCGAGTTTGGCACCACTCCCCACATGTCTAGACCATCTTCGGTGAGGGTGCCTGTCTGAAGAACAATCAGGACAAGATGAATGGCTAATTTTCATTAAGGGGAGACGGAACCCCTTTGTCTACATCAAATCTTAGAATTGTGTTTTCTCCTACAATTATTAATTTCTATCTATGAAATTACTTTATCGACTCGATTATCGCATTGTTGAGTCAATGAAGTAGTTTAATGAATAAAAAATGATAATGGCAGGAGAAAATACAATTCTAAAGGTAATTACTTTGTCGAAGCAGATGCAATTGATACTCCCAGAGACGTTGATAACTCTGCTATTGATGCAGTATATCTGCGCTTTCTTAAGCCTCGCCTGGGCGTAGAGTTTTCCGACGGTCATTGCAGCAGGCAGGGCCGGTGGAATGACAATCGTGATGACGTCCAACGCCTTAATGGCAATATAGGAAGCAGTGACACCTCTAGAGGCCTTCGTTACAACAGTGTAGAGAAATCCCAAAAATGAAATCACTGCTAGAATTCCTATGAACTTGTAGGAATCTTGATCGAACTTGAAATCCGCTGGTGGGGGGTACAGAATAGCGGCAACCAGGGCACCTCTGTTTGTCTGGAGGCCAGTGCGGATGACTCTTGCGAGGACCGGACCGTCTCCATAGAATCTAAATCGAATGAACGTAAAAATAAATATTTTCATCACGCTGTGACGAAAAGTGAACTTTTCGGCACGCTCCGCGTGCCTAAAAGTCCAATTTCCGCCACATTGTGATGAAAAATATTGTTCGTAACTCGTGAAAAAATGTTTTTTAGCTCGTGGGATTATATCACGAGCCGAAGGCTCCTCCCTCTCGCCAAAAAACACTTTTTTGCGCTCGTTACGAAATATACTATTTATCAGTTATTATGAAACTATAAATTTTATATCACGCAGTGCAATGAGTCGAGTTTATCGCACGCCTGCTTCCAACTCACCTTCTGGGCGGTGCACTGAGAGAAAAACAAGCACGTTGTCAAACAAGTCTTGTTTGAGCCAACAAAATCGCTAGTTGAAAATTGTCAAAAATGAATTTGTTCGATTCGAATTTGAAAGTATCAAATATGAATAATTGCTCTGCTTTCGACAACAGAAAAATCCACATAAATCCCACTATGGATTTATGTGGATTTATGTGTGAAGAGGGTTCATTTCTTGTATTATACGAAATATTTGGCTCAAGAGGCGGATAATTCACACCAGACGGTGTCTTATCAGGATGAAAGAATCTCATATAGACGAAAATTTATCAACACGGAGAGAAATGTTCAGTAAAAATTACGGAACTCACAATTCGCTCACCGATTACGGAATCGACTCAGAAAATTTAAGTGACGGTATCGTAATTTTTCACAGGAGATTCAGATAAAAATTGCGAAACGCTCTGGAAAAATTCCGTGACAGTTCCGTCAAATTTCCTACAACCGCATTTCGCTCCGGAATTACGGAACAGATACGTAATTTTTATTGAATATTTCTCTCCGTGAACAAATATCTTATCCCTAAGTTAGAAGATTGCTATCATATCATTATTATTGTTTCATTTAAGGGTTCATTTCTTGTCTGTGATTATTAGACAGTCGAAACGAAAAACTACTATGCCTTGTTTCGCATAAAACAAAGATTTTTCGGGAGCAAAATACGTGTGGGAGTGTCGAATAACGAAGGAGTAGTGCTAGAAATGATATTTCTTGCGTGTACAGAGAATGCAATTTTTTTTGAACTACTAAATCTATTTTTGCGACAAAAATTTTTCATTCCGACGCTCTCTCCCCATGTTTGGCACAAAAAAATCCTTTTTTGATAATTTTCAAAAAACGATTTTCTTGGCACAAGTGAGACTTGTTTGAGAACTTTCTCGTTTTTCTCTCAGTGTGTGACATAAACTATTATAGATCACTCGGGCATAAACTTCGTTTTCAACGAATGTGAGGACACTCCTCGCCTTCGGCTCGGCCCGTAAACTTCACATTCGTCGAAAACGAAATTTGTGCGCTGGTACTCTAATGTGTTATTTATTACCTCGTTTGAATTAGTATCGTGCCGCTGTAGAGGGTGTGTTGAGAGGACTCTTTCCGATCGTAGAGAATTTTTTTCGGAGTTAGAGGGGTTTTAGTGACTGGTACAGATTCGCCTGAAAAATGCCCGTGATAGAGACAATTTATACATTTTGGTTTCAAATGGGAGCTTTGTAATCGCTCAAATTTAAGGTTCGAATTTTTTGTGGTAGGGTCAGCGTTGGGCATCTGTCGATGACCGCAGTTTTTTACATGACATTGTAAAAAACACGTAATTTACGTAATAAATGTAAAAAATGTAAAAAACTAGCCGACGTTACCTTTTATCGTAAACCGTGAAGCTTCGCGAAGATTATACCTCGCAAGGATGATAAACCACGAGGGTCTCACCTCGTAAGGGTCATGCCGTGTAAGGGATGAATTTTACAAGGGTCAATCTCATTATTTATTGATCTCTATTGAATTCGTTGCGTCATCATCTTGTGTCTTGACATTAACTTGTTTCATTCAGCATTCTTAAATGACAAAACTAATTCAATTGTCTTTGGTAGCTTTTTTGAACTCTTCAGACAAAATGGTTCTTTTCAGGCTCCAACTGGGCTTTTCCCAGGCTCCAGATAATAAAGCGGAAAATCCAATAAAGCTCAATAGGGTAATGAGAGTGACTTTCTCACAATGGAGATGACTTGTGACATTGGTCTTTTGCAACGTTTGACCCTCGTGAAATTTACTCTTTACGAGGTATGAGGCTCATGTTTTTGACTTTCTTAAAATGCCGCGAATCGAGGATTTTAATCACTCGAGTTAGGATAGTAGATTATGTCATCAGGCGGTAAAAGTATTATCTGGCGAATGTCTTCGGCTCGGATTATAAAGCCATATTCGCCAGATAATGCTTCTATCGCTGTATGACATATTGTATTTTATGTCGCGCCGTGCAATAAGTCGAGTTTATCGCACGCTGCGCTTCGCGCAGCTTACTCAAAACTCGACTTCTGCACGACTTGACATAAAATATTATAGAGCACTCGGTAATAAATTTCGTTTTCAACGAATGTGTGTACGGACCTCGCCTTCGGCTCGGCCTGTAAACTACAAAACTACTTCAAAAATGTCCTATCTCCTTTAGATGACGAGATTTTCCCACTGTTTCATTTTGCCCCGTGTTTCATTTTGCCCCATGCTCCCCTACTATACTTGTTTATTTAATAAAAAACATTGTCCACTTGTTTGACGTGCGATTGAGAAATTTTACCTGTGAGCATTGATTCATTGAGAATACAATGTCCAGTAAGTAATACTGCGTCGCAAACGACAGTTCCTTGGTGTCTTGGTAGCTCGATAACATCACCCGGGACTAGTTCGGCACTGGAAACAGTGTCGAAGGTCCCGCAACTTCTCCTCACACGCACCGTCTCGGTAGAAGCCACTGTTCCATGAAGATTTTTCTGATTCTACAATCAATATGAACATCTAGTTTTTTTATGATAGTAGGGTAAACAGGCCAATAGCAGGATGATTAAGGAAATATTAAACTTCATTAAGGGGAGACTACTGAGTTTTCAAAATCGTGGGTTATTGGAGTGAGACTTTTCATACGTAGAAGATCGATTATATAGATCTGAAAATGAATAATTAGTGCAAAAAAAAATTTTTTTATTGTTCGTTTACCCGGAAACGCTTAAAATGCCAAAAACAGTCCAGAATCTCCAATTCTTGAGCTACGGAGGATTTTTTTTTTCTAAATTATCGGAAAAATATGTGGAATAATAATTACGAGCTAGTTGTTTTTTAATTCGCTTCTTGGATCGCTAAATGTGCGTTTTTTGTATTTTTTTTACACAAATAGTGATTTTTTTTATATGAAAAAAACCGGAATCAGCTGTGTAGGAGTCGAATTCCAAAAAACTAAACGAAATTTAATTTAGATAATACTGACTGGGTATGAATTTTTTCAAATTTTTTCCATGCAATTTAGTTGAAAAATTTAAGAACTGAAAATATCCAAAAGTACAGCGTAGCCCGGCCGAAGGGTAGAGCTACTTTAATCACTTCGGCCACCGTCGTCGGTTATAAACATCTAGTTAACGATCAACTAATTTCGTTCATCACGAAAGAAATGTAATAATACGAATGAAAAAGATATCATGCAGATAATCGTTTCTTTTGAATACTTACGCGGCGTGTCTGAAGGATAGAACTGCTTATTCCAAACAGAGACATGAGAATAATTGCTGCTGTGTAATAATAATAACCATCGGCAAACCAGACAGCCAAAGTGAATACTTGAAACATGTAAAATGGGTTGAATACTTCGAGCAACAGCAGAACCATTATGCTCTGCATTGGCACTATTATCTCATTTTTTCCATAGACTATTCTCCTGAAAATTCAATGGACTATGAATAAAATTAAAGAATTAAGAACAATCAGCAAAAACGATGAATATTTAACGGAATGGTGACTCATTTATTTGTTTCGTTTATTTTTTTTCCACGTATTCTTCAATGTGAAATTATTTAGAGAAAATTATTGTTAATTATTGTTAACCCTAGATTGGTCACCGTACGAGGGAAACCCCGTCCCGCCTCATTTTTCTTTCAATTACAATTGACTGGCTAACCGGCAAAATAAAAATAAAATTGACTTTGTCAATTCAAGTGTATAAAGAATTATAGTAGTTTTTAGAACAACATTTGTCCCGAAATTCCTGGAGAATACAAATTATTTCGAACAGATGAATTATTTTTTCTCATGTTGAATGAAATTGCCTATGACGCGACGTTGCCGGAAACTCGCTAAACGCGGCCGGGTAGTGTAGAGTGAATTCGGCAACGCTAGAACCTAACCCTTAATGTAGCTCTACCCTTACGGTAAATTCAAAGATTGTTGAAAACTGCAGAAAATTGCAGAAAACTCAATTAGATTCGGAATCCTAATTTTTTTCTCAATTTAACTATCGTTGTGGTTTTTCAAAGAAGAAATGTTTAAAAATCAGGATTTTACCCGGTGGCTTATGTGATAATCAACATTTCCATTGTAATCAAAGATTAGAATCTGAATTTTTTTTCATTAGATGTGAAAAAAAATCAAGATTTTTTTTGACACCTCATAAAAAATAATCCACCGTTTTGCAAACAAGTTTTATTATTTATTTATAAGAGGAAAATGTTTGAAAAAGTATCAATATTTTGCGAAATTCAATTTAGATAATACTGACTGGGTATGAATTTTTTCAAATTTTTCCCATGCAATTTAGTTGAAAAATTTAAAAACTGAAAATATCCAAAAGTACAGCGTAGCCGGGCCAAAGGGTAGAGCTATTTCAAGTGGTCGCAGCTCTCCACCGAACGGAGTTAGTCGCACGGTAAGAGAATCCCTGCCCCGTGTATTCTACGATTTCGAGAAAAAAAAGTTGACCAAAAAACATTTATCCCACGTTCGCAGGTAATTTTGAACTTTCAATGAATAAGAAACAGGGGTATAGAAGCGAAATAGTTGTCAGATACCCCAAGAACTCGATTTGAAAAAGTGCAAAATTATGAAATTTTGAGGTTAAACATGAAAATTTTCAGCGAGTCGAGTTTTCAGAAGGTTGTAACAATTCATTGGTGTACGTTTGGACCGAAAAAAAGATGTTGATGTGTTTCTTATATTTGAAGTAGGAATACAATTTTTTTTGGATTTTTCATTCGTCAAGTTTTTGTGTAAAAGAAAAAATCCAAAAAAGGCGGGGATTCCCCATTATGCGAGCGCGTAAGGGGGAATCCCCGCGGAGATGACCAATCGCAGGGTCGCGTTTGGTGACCAGACTGGGGTTAATGGCTATTTATTTTTTACCTCAACAGTTGCTCCTCTTTAGAGAGACCTTTATTGAAGCCCAGATGCAATTCTGTGCAGGGCACGTATTTATCCAGTGCCACCAGCATTGCAAATTCACTTTGAATTTCGTCCCATATGTAACATTGTTTTTTGAACCAAAATGCGCGGTATTCCAGGACATCACGTTTCGTACCGTTTTCGAGACTTATGCTCAATTTCTGGCATTCAATTCTACTGAGTAATTCGGGTTCTGGATTCCCCAGCCGTTTCAACATCTCAGGAGATCTATAATTATTTTTTCACAAGTTCATTCTCAAGATTTGCTGCATCTTTTACGAGGAATCATCTTAAATATAATAAATCCGTAGCCCATTTTTTGGCCGCGATTCACGCAAAAATGACTGAATGGATTTCAATGGTATTTTTATTATACTATTACATAGTTTAGGGTCCCCAATCGGCTTTAGGCTATAATATAATATTATATTATAGGCTATAACATAATATAGCCTATAATATTATATCTTAAAAAGAAAACGCGGCATTTTCAATTTCTTCAGTGGTAAATTTTAGTGGACATGTATATTTATCATCGGTGAAATTAATAAATTCTGTCCTGTTATGGAGACCGATTATTTTAAAAAATTGAAGATAATTAATTGAAAATGAAAAATTCTTTATAGATTCTTTTACTCTACTTCGCTATTCACTTCAATCATTAGTCGAATTCTCTTTGATTCATTATCAATATTTATAAGGTATTCATGAGAAAATGAAATTTAATGAATTCCATTTCTTCATTTCAACAAATGAATAGATCAGCGCGCGCATAGATTTTGTATTGCACAGTTTAGTATGCATCGTAGAAACTTCTCAAAAATTCTAAAGCTTTCTGGAAAATTCTAGAATATTTTTAAGATTTCTATAAAGTTTGAGGATATTGTCGGGTTTTATAGAAAGTTCGAGAAAATCCTTTGGTTTCACAGAGAGTTTGAAAGAACTCTTGAATTTTCTAGAAAATTCGGAGGAATTCTCGAGTTTTCTAAAAAAAAAAAAATTTATATCAAATGAGCAACTTTCAAATTCTGATTGACTAACTGCGCGGCCCGACTTTGACCGGACAGAATGAGAGAAAATTGAATACCAGGATTTTTGAGAATTCCTGCAATTAAAAAAAAACACCTCAATGTTTTCTTTTACTTGAGAGTTTTTCAAAGTAAGTAAAGTAATTGATGAAATTCTCGGGTGTTCTAGTAAAGTCGAAAACATTCACGTGTTTTTTTTTCAATTGCAGGAATTCTCGAAAATCGTGGTATTCAATTTTCTCTTATTCTGCCCGGACGAAGCCGAACCACAGAGCCAGTCTACCTTAAATTCTTTGTTCCAATGACTCTGATGTCCTTCACAGAATAGGTTTTGTATTTTCCTTGATAATCGTCCTGAAAAATCAATAGAGACAATCAATTTTACTTTGCCTAGAAATTTAATTGATCACTAGTATATATTTGTTGCTCTTACTATTATGAGTAATCTCGTTGCTCGACTCAGCGGACATTTTCGATAAGTGGCGTACAACTGCAAGTGAGGATACCAGTGGAAGAATAATCGAAGAATTCCAAGTGTTAACAGGTAGAACACATACGTCAGAAATGTGCAGATGTAACTTCGTTCGTAGCCATTTATTTGCTGGAATAATAAACAATCAGCAACCTTTTATTATCCAAAATTAACTTTGGTTCACTGAGAGAAAAACAGCCGAGTTCTCACACAAGTCGTACTTGTGTCGAAAAAATTCTCGTTAAAAATGATCAAAAAAAGATTTTGTTGTGCCAAACGTGCACCGAGATTGAAAATTTTTTCCGCAAAAATTCCCGTAAATTTTGTGAATTGCCGAAAAGTTTTAGAAAAAACGCAGGAAAATGATTGGACGATGATGAAATTTCGTGAGTCATTAAGTAATGATAAAACGCAAAAACGGTAGATTTTTTCACACCAATCCGACCAATAATTTGCCAGAAAAATTCAAAAAACGTGAATTTTTGCGAAAAGGGTGTAATACATCCTTAAGGGGTCTCCTCAGTAGAGCAAAACGAGGATAGGCGCGGGGGTGAGTGGAGCCTAAAATGGTGAAGTTAATGAGATTATTTTTGAAAGAGACGAAACATCAAACATGGCGTACGTTGGATAGTGCCAGACATCGCGCCAATTATTTTTATCGATAATTTATTCAACAAATTAACGGCAGAGCTCGATGAGACTTCAAACCCGTATTTTCCAGACTTTAATGTAGATAAATATGGTTTCCTTTATTGGCTAGCACATTGTCAACAGGGTGAGGGGTAAGGGACAAAATAGCGTTCATAAAGCCCATCTATAAACCGAAATTTGAATGATTCACAAAAAACGAACGAAACGATAAAACTTCTCAGAGTTTTTTTAACAATTTTCCTTCACCCATTCTTGATTATTATATGGCATATTCAATTCGCTCGCACATTGTCGTTTTATGGTAACGGTTACTGGGGGGACCCCTTAGTGTTTGCGACTTTCAAATTCGATCCAAACAATTATTTTTCTGGTAATTTTCAACTAACGATTTTGTTGGCCCAAATAAGAATCGTTCGAGAACTTGTTCGTTTTCCTCTCCGTGTTGATCTATTTTGATTTCTCATTTACCAATTCTTCAGTGTCATGACCAGAATTAATTTTCTGCCACGTCGGATCCGACTTTTTATCAGTATTTAACCCTGAAAGATTATTGTAAATAGTAAATTAATTTTTGCTCCATGCATTCTGATTTCATGTTCTACTCTCATTCCACGTTCAATCATCATAGTACTCGTGAAAGTAAATGCTGGTTATTGTCACACACGCTGAGACCGATGCTAATATCACGGTCAAACGAGTTTTTCATTTTTTTTTACAATCACTGATTATTTTCTTGTAATAAATTTATCATGTCTTACCATTGAGATTTGTCATAACGTCCGCAGCACTAATCCAGTGAATTAAACTTTCCCTTGGATTCTAATGCAGGCAATATTTGTTTTGGGATGGAGAGAACTCGACTGTTACTGAAAGAACAAATAGAACTGCTCATCTGACTCAGCATGAACTCGTAGAACACTCTAGGGGTCACGAAGCGTGAAGACATGACGAAATATTACTACATTTTTTATTTTCGGGGTCATTACGATAACTCCTCTATGAATCGGAATGTTAGGAACCTTGATGCTTATTAGATTATATTTTTTCTCAAGCGTAACCGCGGGCCGTTTACCCCTTCCTCATTATCTAAGCTTTACATTTAGGTTTAATTATATCTTTGAAAACATGGGTTTCTACGCAGATTATTGTGGCCTTCGCAGAGGCTTTTATGGGCACTTTTGCTTCCGCATGAAAGCATGGTAATCGCTCAATTCTGACAGTCTCCAATTTTGATTGGAGATGATGTATAATGGTCTGAAATGTAAAAATACGAAGTTTGACGACCATGTCTGTATGTGAGCATGCCATCAAATTGAGTAATTAAGGGTGCCAAGTGAATTTGACAAAAGATTCAAAAACAATTTTTTCTTTCCCTCCATCATTGGAGAAATATGTATTCATCCATCTGACGAAATTTCAAACCCGCAACCGGAACTAGACATCGAGGAAATAAATGCGGAAAATCCTCTATTTCGCGTGACGAACTTCGAGAAAGTTTCACCCCGGTACCCCATTGTTTTTTGTCGCCGTCACATTGAACACATCATTCCCCATATCTTCAAATTTTTTCAAATTTTTCTTGAGTTCCTAGGGGGTTGAAACGTTCAATTTAATCAAAACTCCATAAGAGGCCGTGTATAAGACTGATTTTGTTTATTTAATTTCTCGATATCCATAAGTTCTAAAATTTGAAAATGGTCACCGATGTTCACCATCTGTCTAATACTATTAATTTAAAAAATTATAACTTTGTTGGTCAATGTCAATTTTCAAGGTCATCGCCAAATTCACTTGACACCCTTAAGTGGCTAACGTAATTCCAAAAAATCAGAAATTTTGTCAGATTATGGGTCTTAACCCTAGACCTATAATCTGGTCACCATGCGAGGGAATTGCCGCAACACGTCGTTTTATTCACCTTGCCATCGACTGGTTGACCGGAAAAATTTGAGAAAAATTGAATTCGTCAATTGAAGTATCTGGATAATTCTAGTATTTTTTTTCAATATTGTATCTTTAATTCTGGGAGAAACAAAATTATTTCCAACTCACTGCATCAGTAGTTTCGGAGATATTCGACTTTTTCTGAAAATCTTTTATATGCAATATCCTCAAAACTACGCAACCGATTTCACTGTTTTTTCAAAATATTCGTTTCGATGCCTTCTATCTAAATCAATCGAAACATATCAGTAGCGAAGTGGTAAAACGGTTTAAGTCGACCCATCTCCCTGTTGAGTTTTTGAGGAATATTTCCGAATCTAAGGGAGATAGCGAAATTTTCGTATTTACATTTGTTGTAGCTCTCAATCGGCCCTACAAAAAAGGTTATAACAAAAATTTTTCTATCTCCTTTAGATTCTGAGGTTTTCATTGAAAACTGGTTAATAGTCAAAATTGACTTGTAATTTTTCACAGGAGATTAAGATAAAAATTACGGAACGCTCCGGAAAAATTCCGTGACAGCATCGTAAAATTTCCTACAACCACATTTCGCTCTGAAATTACGGAAAAGATGGGTAATTTTTACTGAATATTTCTCTCCGTGCGCCCAACAATAACCGGTCAAATTGAATCGCTTCACAAACGAGCCGGAATAAGAAAGAAACATTCAAGAAATTATCGGAGAGTTGGAACGTGACAATTGCCTCGAATATTCAATAATAAAAAACTCCACTTGAGTGCACACCACGTGAACAAAGTGATAATTTTTCACTCAATACGCAGTGGCATACCGAATCCTCAATTTTATCACCTGAAAAAAAAATCACTTGCTAATTTTCGAACTGCAGATTTTTTCTTTATGAACGGAAAAATTGATCGGAATATCTAAGTGAAGGTCACAGTGGACGAAAAAGTTGCGAGCGATAATGTTGCCTTGATTAGTCCTTAAGTTCTCGTGAATGTGGTGTACACAGCGGGAATGAAAATATTGATAATTACTGTGGTTATCGCGCCGGAACCTTAACCGAGTGACTAACTAGTGTTTTCCACCCGTTTGAGTGGAATTGAAGGATTTTATTCTACGTTTGTTCCTCTGTCGATTATTGAGGATATCCAAGTACTGTGATACCTATTCGAAATCAAATTGCTGTTTTATCAGTAATAATTACTGTACTCATTTATAGGACAAAAACTATTGTCCACTTGTTTTTGCTCTAGTGAAATGCGTTTCTACTTTTGGAGTCGAATTTATTATTTAAACTTTGCAGGTCGGAATTCGAATTTCGATATTGAACCGTTAGAAAACATTTTAAACATCTGAAAAAAAATTAGAAAGTTTACTTTTGCAAGATTGCAAAACAATCAATTTTCCATCATAAAAATTATTTGTGCATAATGGTAACAAATTGATTCATGTTCAGAAATTTAAAACTTTAAACAATTTCAATTATTTATTTCAGTATCGAAGTGGTAAAGCGGTTTAAGTTGATTTATCTCCTAGTTGAGTTTTTGAGGAATATTTCGGAATCTAAGGGAGATGACGAAATTTTCGTAATTACATTTGTTGTGGCTCTTAGTCGGTTCTACAAAAAAGGTTGTAACAAAAATTTTGCTATCTCCTTTAGATCCCGAGATATTCATTGAAAACTCGTCAATAGTCAAAATTGACTTGTACCGTTTTACTACTTCGCTACTGATTTATAGACAATAAATGTTTTAAATATTAATAATTAAGTGCAACATGTAATTTGAATGACACTAAATTTTCGTGATTTTTTCAATTTTTTCTTACGCAATTTAACCAACAAATTTGATGATTGAAAATGGCTGAAGCTGCAGAGTGGTCTACATCAAACTGTAAGAGATGCTGGGATATCCTTAATTGGGTTTTTTGCGTAAATTGCATAAGATGCATTTTTTTAATGAAAAATATGCATTATTTACTCGAAAGAATATCAGAAGTTGAGATTCCGGATTCTTTCAGAAACATTTTTCCGACAATTTTACATGAATTGCGCAATTTTTTATAAAAACAAAACGACATTAGCTGATGGTAGGAATGCAATAAAAAAAACTAGTTCGTAATTGTTATTGTACACATTTTTTCAAAGTTTTTGAAAAAAAGGCGTCTGTAGTTAAAAAATTGGAAGCCCTGGACTATCGACTTAGAAATTATTCTCCTTTCTTTCATTGAATAAAATATATAGTAATGAAACGCAAAATTCATCAATAAATCAACCGCCTCAAGAGTTAATGAAGTGATAATGATGGATTTATTGCAATCAAAGTGCAACACTTCATGAATAAATTCAATTATTGACTCATTATGTACAGCACCAGTTACAACTGGATACCGTTACCATTACAAAATTAAAAATGGCGGAACAATTAAAGTGGAATAAAAAATTAATGATAATAAAAAATGAAGGACGTGGGTATGATGCTGACGGTGAACGTTACGCTGGAAATTTCTCAATGGTTAGAATTATTATACATGAAAGGATCTGATGGGGACGATATAGATAGTATCGAGGTCATTAAACGCACCGTGATGACACTGGTACGTGGTCAGTTTTTTAGTGGAAGCTAATGGTGTTGTTGCATAATGTAACGATTTTACTTTCATTTTGCGAGTCAAAGGGCATTATTGGTCGTTGACCAATCACATGTATTAATGGCTTTTCAATAAATAAATAAATTATTAATTTCTTTGCTCTATTCATTCTTCATGTTTGAACAAATTTTTAAAAATCATAATAGCATAAAATATTGTGTCTCCTCCAGACGTTTTGCGATAAGGGAAGAAAATAATTACGATTGTTTTTCCTCGTTCAACCGATTCTGCAGATTCTGTAATCTTTTTTTCAATTTCTCTTTGCTACAATCATGAAAGTCAATTATCTTCATCCAACTCTTCGGCAGTAATTCACTTCAGTAAATCCATGGGCGCAAAAAAATTATCAATAGCTTTTCAATAAATAAATAACTTAGTGTTTTCTTTGCTCTATTCATTCTTCATAATTTTTATCAATTTAAAAAAAATCAACAAGACTATAAAATATTGTGTCTCCTCCAGACGTTTTCCGATAAGGGGAGAAAATTATTACAGTTGTTTTTCCTCGTTCAACCGATTCTGCAGATTCTGTAATCTTTTCTTCAATTTCTCTTTGCTACAATCATGAAAGTCAATTATCTTCATCCAACTCTTCGGCAGTAATTCACTTCAGTAAATCCATGGGCGCAAAAAAATTACCAATAGCTTTTCAATAAATAAATAACTTAGTGTTTTCTTTGTTCTATTCATTCTTCATAATTTTTATCAATTTAAAAAAAATCAACAAGACTATAAAATATTGTGTCTCCTCCAGACGTTTTGCGATAAGGGAGGAAAACAATATCTATTTTTTTCTTCATTCAATCGATTCTCCAGATTCTATAATCTTTTCCTCAATTTCCCTTTGCTACAATCACCAAAATCTTATCTCCATTCAACTTTCCGGCATTAGCCCTCGATAATTTGGGCTTTGCCGCCAGCCTTCATCCGCTGCATGTTTAGCGCAGCGCAGCTAGGTTAAACCGAACGCGCGGTTGCCACGTTGGCGTTTACCGCTACGTGCGCATTTCAAGTGCGGCAGTGAATGTAGCAACACTGTCGCTCGAGCGGCCGACAGGGACTCACTCGTACCGGACGGTGCGGCGCCGCCCTAGTGGAAAATCCAAAATTATAGCGTCACATACCTGATCAGAATCTGATATGATAACCTGACTAAAATTTTCATTCGGGTATGATTCAGTTTGAGAGTGAAATTCGTAAGTGTCCTGGTAGCTCAGATGGTAAGAGCACCCGACGCGACATTGGGAGGTCCCGGGTTCGACTCCGGCTATGAAGTTACTAATTTTTCCTCTCAAAATTTTTTTTATTTAATTAATGCCTAATGATGGTAGGCGGTGAAACCCTAGTGGAAAATCCAAAATTATAGCGTTATATGCCTGATCAGAATCTGATATGATAACTTGATCAGTGTCTGATCAAGACCTGACTAAAATTTCCATTCGGGCGCTTTGCTGTGCGTTCGACGTTTGTTTTTTTTTACTAAACAAATTTTCCGAGAAAGAAATGGACAAGCCAATGCTTAGTAAAAGGATTGAACTAGGGACTCTTTTTTTCAGAATTTTTAAGCGTCGAGGAACACGCTGAAATATAAAAAAACGAAAACGAGCGGCGCCGCACGCATTGAGCGAGTGATCGAGAGTTCACTCACCTCAGTAAATCCACGGGCATAAGAAATTTACAATGGCTTTTCAATAACTAAATGACTTATCGTGTTCTTTGCTCTATTCATTTTTCACAATTGTTATCAATTTAAAAAAAATCATAACAAGAGTATAAAATATTGTGTCTCCTTCGGACGTTTTGCGATAAGCGGGGAAACCAATAACGGTTTTTTCCTCATTTTCAATCAATTCTCTAAATTCTATTATCTTTTCTTCAATTTCCCTTCGCTACAATCACCAAAATCTTATCTTCATTCAACTCTTCAACTTTAACTCACCTCGGTAAATACACGGGCACAAGAAATTTACAATATCTTTTCAACAAACAAATAAATTATCGTTTCCTTTGTTCTATTAATTTTTCCTAATTTTTATCAATTTTAAAAAAATCATAATAATAGTATAAAATATTGTGTCTCCTTCAGACGTTTTACGATAAGGGAGAAAAACAATAACGGTTTATTTTCCGCATTCAATCGATCCTCCAGATTCGATAATCTTTTCCTCAATTTCCCTTTGCTACAATCACCAAAATCTTACCTTCATTCAACTCTTCGGTGTTCATTCACCTCAGTAAATCCACGAGCACAAGAAATTTACCAATAGCTTTTCAATGAATAAATAAATTATTAATTTCTTTGTTCTCTTCATTTTTTCCTAATTTTGATCAATTTAAAAAAAATTATAACAAGACAAGACAAATTCGATAATTTTTTCTCCAATTTCCCTTTGCTACAATCACCAAAATCTTATCTTCATTCAACACTTCAACTTTAACTCACCTCACTAAATCCACGGGCACAAGAAATTTACCAATATCTTTTCAATGAATAAATAAATTATCAATTCCTTTGTTCTATTCATTTTTCCTGATTTGTATAAATTTTTTAAAAAACAACAATCGTACAAAATATTGTGTCTCCTTCAGACGTTTTGCGATAAGGGAGAAAAACAGTAACGGTTTTTTTTCTCATTCATTCGATTCTCCAGATTCTATAATCTTTTCCTCAATTTCCCTCTGCTACAATCACCAAAATCTTATCTTCATTCAACACTTCAGTATTAACTCACCGCAGTAAATCCACGGGCAGAAGAAATTTCTTAATCCCACGAGATAACCGAAACCACTCGAAAATTCTATTTGCCTTTGCTTATCAGTGAGAAAAAAAAATTTAAACAGTCATTAAATCCACATTTTCTATTCCTACAGTCGATCAAATTGAGTAGAATATTTTTTTCGTTTGCACATTTATGCAATAATTTATTACTCCCGTCACTGATGAATGAGTGGATAAACGTGAATTTATCTATTTTATTCACTCAATGCTCTGCGTATGCTTTCTTTTTTTTCCAATTTACAAAAATTACTTGTACGCACGATTGAAAATCCGGCACGGAACTGACACTTGCCCGACTGCCACTCGTCTCTGTTTCGTACTGTCATGTGAAAATAAAAAACTCCCACCACTGTCACCGGCTGCCCCCCCCCCCCCCCC